AGGATGTCCACAGCTGACCATGGCCTCCCCCATTGCTTTCCATGTTGCCCGGTTGGTAGCAGCCTGCGTCCAGCGCCTTCCTGCTACCTTTACGATATCTTCGGTTCACCTTGTCGTTAGCCGATGGGGGCAGCAAGTTTCTGGAGGTAGACCAACGACTAAATAACTAAATTATTTCATACAATCTCTGGCGCTCAATACCTATTCCCTCTTAGATCTATAACCTTGATATTAGATCCTAATACCTCACACCATAATATCTGGTGACAATAAACCATTATGATATGACAAGATATAAAATACGGGAGATAGCCGATAAACTACACAAACACGTTGAGAACCTAACTGAATTATCTATAACGAGCAGATATAAGATATAGTATAGCAAGAAGAGCCAGTACAGAACAAACAACATCATGAAGTGTGTATACTAGGTACTTATCGTTTCAGCCAAATGACGTCCACGGCTGGACAAGCCTTTGTCCAAGTATTTCCACAGCGATCGGCATTGCTCACATTTAGAACTTTTTAGAATTACAAAATAATCATATTTATGTGTAGGTATGCCTACTTACTACAAAAAAAAAATGACTAATAAGTAAAGTAAAACAGTATCATACAAGCGACAACGGGGATACAGAGTCGGTACCGGAGTCTCGATTCAATGATTGCTTCCATCACCATCATCAACAGCCCTTTACAGTCCACTGCTAGACTATGAGCCTCCTCCACTGTTAGTGGAGGGTTTTGCCATGATCCCCACGCTTGGCAGTCGGGTTGGAGATCGCAGTTTAAAAGATTGATGTTTTTCAGAGAGCGCTCTGTTTGATGTGTAGTGTCTAAGTCGCCTCTTTTGACACCCGGGGGAAGAGTAGGGATTGGTGAAAAATGTATTCTACTCTGCCGTCACCACACGGCTTATGATTGCTTATGCGGGGTCATAATAGCTGGAGGAGATAACAAGCATGTTAGTAATGTACTTTGAAATATGGTTTATTAGATTTGTTTTCACAAGATATTAACCAGCGTCTTTGTACTACATCTAAATGTACTGTCTGTTCTCTTCTGGCCTAACTCTAGTGCCGTATAATCGGCTATAAAACCCTAATGTAATTGTTCGGCTGGAACTAGTGACCAATTTACGATGAGTTTACTATTCGTGGTCTATAAATTAGTAACGGCTTTTGTTTATTAGATTAATTCTCATTGTTATGTGGTTTAAAATTTAGAGACTGTATTGGCATTGGTTATTTAACGTGTTCATTACGTTAGAGTAGTAAAAACAGTATACAACAGTAATTGGGGCACACTGACAACTAGCGTCATAGCCTTCCTCGCCTAGGGCCACGGCATATGCTGAGTATCCCATTGCGATGGGCATCGCAGTTGCGACAGTTGCACTACTCAGTTCACTTTTTATTTCCTATTTACTATGTAATATTTATGTGCTATTTCTGTCTTTTTTTTCTTAACTATGTGATGTTCATCGTAAATGTTTCTTTCTTACAACTTTCTTATACCGGGTGTCAAAAGTAAAACCGAATTAATGGAGAGCTTTTTCAGAAATTAAAACAATTTTGGTCACTTATTGCTCTAATAAATACATCAGCCAGAATCAAATCAAACAGAGACAAGGATTAGTTGTCTTTATATTGTGCCAATATTTTCATCATGATTTCAATTACAGGTTAATCACTGAAAATAGGTCTCTAGCAATGATTTCCAGATTGGCCTTTTGGAAACGTCTTGCATCCATTGATTTTTATAGGAAGTTTGGAAGGATATTCTTTACGCCAGTAGGGACTCAAAAGGCTAACCACAAGGTATGTTGTGTCCATCATACGGGCTGATGAGGCAGTTGCTTCATATTTAACAATGGTTGTAATAATAAAACAAATTCCACTTCACGAGCTCATAATATAGCTTAAACAAGAACATTAAGGGTATTTTATTACACAACTAACTATCTACTGACCGCGTTCCGATATGCAGTTAATGATTTATGTCGTCTAATGGGTTGGTAGATTAACATTGTGGTTGCTAAATATGATAGTAGACTGCACACCCGGTAATTCAGTTCAAACGGACGCGAGCATATCGAGTTTAACACTGGCATCTTCTTCTTAAAAAGCGCTTAAACACGTCCCAGCTCTATCATCATGACATCATTCTTATAGGTCCTTTTTTGCAAGTAAATGGAATTTGATGTGTTGTCTGTCAGAAGAAACAATTTGTAGATGGTTTTACATCTTTAAGCCAACGTAGGACGTCCACCGACAAGGTGGACCGACCTCATAGAGGTAGCTGGAAAGCACTGGATGCGGGCCGCTACAAATCGGTCCGAAGCTGAGTGGAGAGGCGATACGGAAATAACGAAATCTGATTGGTTATAAACCACCTTTGTAGTCTAGTGGTAAGACCACCTGCTTCAGACGCAGAGGTCCCGGGTTCGATTCCTGCCTGTGGGGGCAGATTTTTCTGTGCGGTTTGGTTGGTGGTAGGGCTTGTTCTAAGTCCGCCTGGCTAGCTACCACCATCTTACCTAAGTCTGTCGCCATAACAACAATGTCAACAGCATTATTGTGTTCCGGCAGTTAGAGGTAAGATAGGCAGTTCCTCCGTGGTTGAGGATTCCGGGTGAAGCTCGCTTCCATCAGGTGAGATACAGGCCAAGAGCTTCCTCGTTGCGGAAAAAATATATATTCAAATACATCTGCTCACCGCTTTGCTGGAAACCCCACCTGATAGTTACTAGTGTGTTATAGTCCTAAATGATAAAATTAGTAGTTCTCCAACAAAGCTTGGTTAGCCAGTTGTGATAGGCATAAACTTATAATTGGTTCAGTTAACATTTAATCGTAACACAAAGTTGTTCAATTGTTTAGATAGTGTTTCTGGAGTTATTGTTAAATGGTATTACAGAATTAGATAGTAGTAGTCTTCTCTTTAGTTTTTGTAATAAAAAAAAGTTGGTTTCACACGTATTCTTTAAATTATAGGTAACGGCCTGTCTGATTAAAAAAATCCCTTCTAATTTTATCCCGAAAATTGATTTAACATTAATTATACGATGTATTTCTATTATACACATTTTTTTATCGTAGTAATCTATCATCATGTTTCTAAAAAAACGAGTAAAAATGATTTTACTGACGGAAAAGTTTAAACATAACAAACGAAACCTCTTACCATATAGAGATGGACAGACAGACTTAATTTTTTTTTCAACGGGCAAAGGAATATTGCTTTGTTTTCTACGTAAAGGATTTTTTCAGAGTTTTTTTTAATCCTATACAAGGTCCAAAATGTGTAAAACATTTCAATTGAATTTCAAACGTATTCCCACAGAAAACAGTTCCAATTTTTATTGCGTCTATTTCATGCCAAACTGCTGCCCTCTGGTGGCAAAATAATTCAAATGTAACATGAAAATGAGTTATCATCATAGATCTTGATCTTGACCCGCCTCGCCGTATATTTTTTCCTAACCATTGAACTCGAATAGGCACTTATCTAAGGCAGGGTTCATTTTTATATTTGGGTACGATATTTATATCATTTCCCTTCAATTAATTTTGGAAAAAAATTGGGAAAGGTTTTATTTGTTCGACGACCTAGGAATATACGTACTTACTTGTAAATGTAAAAATTACCTATATAGATCTTATACAAAATTACCTACATCTCAAGTAAGTCCATTTAGTACTATTTTTAAACAAACTGACATCATTTCTCAAGTACCTAAGTAGGTACTTATGTAGGTCATATTGATGACCAAACATTTATCTGGCTTTAACACAAAATATACTCGCAGGATATTTTTCAAGCTGAGCATTGAGTAATACTCTACGATAAGATACTGACCGGAGCGTACATTTTTACTAGTGCCACAGTTTTCATGAAGCTTGAAAATAACAGACTGGAAATGACGGGTTATTTTTTAGCTTAAAATACTTGCACATGTTGTGGACCAAAATTGCATCCGCTCAGCATTGTGTCCTGCTCTGAGGTAGACCCCAGAACAGGACGTTGTTATGTAATTTGCAATTCAAATTTCAAACACACAACAGTCCAGTTTTGCGGGATCCTGCAAAACCGTATTGCCGAGAGAACGGGCCCATAGAAGAGTAAATACAAATGAGTAGGTTATCTTCATAGAAACACACCGAGCGCGGTTTGTATGTGAGCGCAGTTGAGCGCACCAACCACGACTGGCTCCCCGCTAATCCACGCTAAAGTTTGTCAGTGTGTGCGTGCGCGCCGCATTCGTATTGGCGCGCTCACATACAAACCGCGCCCGTGCGTTTCTATGAAGATAACCTACTCATTTGTATTTACTCGGCCCATAGAGACGCAAATAAGATAACCTCTAACCTCCGCTGCGTGCCGCCGGGCGCCGGAGCGGCCGCGAGCAGCGCCTGCCGCTTGAGCAGTTGCACTGTTACCGCAAACGACACCACCATCGTCAGCATGGGGATGTAGAACGCGACCAGCGAGCCGAGCACCCAGAACAGACAGTTGTTGATCATGGCATTACTGCATCCTTAGTAACTAGATCCTGCATTACTGGATCATGCATTGCGGGACCTGCATCCCTGGAGCCCCTGACCTCCGCTGCGTGCTACTGGATTCTGCATTTCTGGATTCTGCATTACTGTCTTCTACACTACTGGATACTGCATTACTGGATCCTTAATAACTGGATCCTGCATTACTTGATCCTGCATTACTGTCTCCTGCATTACTGTCTCCTGCCTTACTGTCTCCTGCAATACTGGATTCTTAATAACTGGATCCTGCATTACTGGATCCTGCATTAATAGGTCCTGCATTACTGGTTCCTACTCTAATGTCTCCTGCATTACTGGATCCTGCATTAATGGGTCCTGCATTACTGTCTTCTGCATTACTGTCTCCTGCCTTACTGTCTCCTGCAATACTGGATCCTTAATAACTGGGTCCTGCATTACTGGATCCTGCACCACTGACCTCCGCNTAACCTCCTTTGCGTTCCCCCGGGCGCCGGAGCGGCCGCGAGCCGCGCCTGCCGCTTGAGCAGCTGCACCGTCAGCGCGAACGACACCACCATCGTCAGCATGGGGATGTAGAACGCGACCAGCGAGCCGAACACCCAGAACAGACGGTTGTTGATCACGCACAGCTCTGGGGTTGGCATTATGTTGTTGCGGTTGATCAGACCTGTTGGAGAAAGGTAAAGTACATAATAATGACCTTGAACAAATATCTTTAGAAGCTATTCACCAGCTCAACACAAGAGACTGAACACAGACAACGAAAGACAAAATAATTTTGAATGTCTCGACATGGCATTCAAAACCTAGCAAAAAGATTCGCAGTGAAAGAATAAGAGATGACTCACTGGACTAGTCTCTTACTGAACGCCTCAAGAACCGGATTGGAATCAGACAGATGATTGGATTATTGTTTCACGGAAACAGATTGCCAAGTAGCAGAATAGAAGAGAAAAAAAAATATGTTACTAATTTTGAATTTCACCAACTGGACAAGTGTGTCCAGCCAGTACTCTTGTGTGGAGTTGGTAAATAATACCCATCCTTGGGTTAGACTTCATACACTGCACTATACAGTTCCATACTAAGCATAGCTTGTACTATGTGTACCAGACAACGTATTAATTATCAATATTATGTTACGTTATGTGGGAAGGAGATCCAGATGCGAGCAGCGCAGAACCAGTCGCTGTGGAAATACCGGGGGAGGTCTTTGTCAAGCAGTGGACGGTATTAGGTTGATGAAACGTTATATTCGTTTTATTGTCTAAGTTCAGAAGTAGAAAATCATCATCATCATTTCAACCATAGAACGCCCACTTGCTGTGCTTAGGCCTCCCCCAATGATTTCCAAAATGGTTGGTAGCGGCCTGCATCCAGCGTCTTCCTGCTACCTCTATGAAAATAATATACTCATAATTATTTCGGCGAACGTATTCCAAACGAAAAATATAGATTTGAATATTATTTTACACAGCAACATGTAGACTTCTAGAGTCCTAGATATGTAACCTAAATACTGTCATACTCGTATTACCTAGGTACCGAAGATTATATTAGTAAAGCTTTAATAATTTTATCACGAAAGATTTAAAAAACTACGAATGGTTGCAGGTTTTTCAAAACATGAATTTAGCAGTCTCAAGGATATCCTTACGATTTCTAAACTAAGTTTTCTCAAAAAATTACGCCCCGTTAAAATTCCAGTGCAACAGTTGTGACAAAAGCCATTAATAATAAAGAGAATTAATTAACAGAGACAGCTCAAACCGGCGCCAATTGGAGAGTTTATTAACAATTTCCCGGACAAAGTACAGTCGGACACCGAAATGATGACATTTTAATGTCAATTTAAAATTAAAATTAAATGAGCTGGAAACATTTTGAATTAAGTTGGTGTCTTGTACAGATTTGACACCTTTATAAGCTAGGCATTAAGATTTATATTATTTTGTCTAGCGTGGTGTGTCGTATTATGTCATGTTGTGGTGTTGTGACGCATCAGAACAGAATCGGTTACATGCATTAAGCGACAAGTACATTAGAAGCCACTACACAATACAACAGTCTAGTGTTTCTTAACCTGTGGTCCCTGGACCCCTGGGGGTCCACGAGCATATGTGTGGATATGGACCATTTAACCATCATAAATAAATGCCACCAAAATCGAAATTTATTGCTGCTTTTTTATTACTGCGGTCCTTAAAATTGTGCTTGATTTCCTCACGGACCCCCGTGGACAAAAAAGATTAAGAAACGCTGGTCTAGTGTGTGAAACTGACTCCGTCTCCGTTCTGATGCGTCATGCTATGACACAATCCGTCAGGCAATATAAATCCAGCTTTAAAGTAGCGTTTTGTTTTTTCGTATCTTACGCACGCTGTAGCATTTACAAGTGTTACATTCCGCGCTTCAGTTAACCGCACTCGCGTGCATTCCAGCGTCTTCTCTTGAAGTTTCGGATGAGTCCTTATACTTATTTATACAATAAAGAACACCAAAGGCGTACACTTCATATTATTATGTAGGTTGGGCTAAAAAAAACTAAATATTAAATGTAATTTTCACTTGGCTTTATATTTCTTCCTTTCTTCTGAGATTAGGGTTTCTGTGTAATTAAAAAGATTTTTTTAAATCGCTTCAGAAATGACGTACCTAGTTCCAAAGTTATAAATACACAAACAAAACACAATGAATTGAGCAGTGAACACCTTCTCCTAGTAACTTTCACATACATCATAAAGTTGCTTAAGCGGCAACTAGGTACTTTAAGTAAGCAACCCTTAAAAGTTACTGTCGGCTTAAAATAAATCAAGTCCAATATATGCCTTCTAAATCCTCCCTGAATGTGTTGGGNTTAAATGAGCTGGAAACATTTTGAATTCAGTTGGTGTCTTGTACAGATTTGACACTTTTATAAGCTAGGTATTAAGCGGATTTATATTTGTCTGGCGTGATGTGACGTGTTGTTGTGACGCATCAGAACAGAATCGGTTACATGCAGTATGCGACAATCATGTAGGTACGTCAGAAGCCAATACACGACACAACAGTACAGATGTCCAAAAAAGGATACCACGTTGGACAAACATACAATTATGACATTTACAGAAGAACGCTATTAGCAATACTGGGTTGTTAGTTTTTGACTTTTGCCACTTGACGTTTCAGAATCGTGGGACTTTATTATGAAACTGGATCCGTCCTGATGCGTCATTCATGACACAACGTCAGGCAAATATACTCAAATCAGGCTTTAGAGTAGCGTTTTTTTTAGCGTTTTACGCACGCTATGGTATTCTACGAGCGTTAACCATTTCGCGCTTCAGTTAACCGCACTCGCGTGTATTCCAGCGTGTTCTCTTGAAGTTTCGGATGAGTCGTGCTTATACTTATTTATACAATTTGGGCTAAAAAAAACTACATATAAGTATAAGTATGATATAAAAAAAAACTAAATCTAAAAGGTAACTTTCACTTGACACTTTATTTTTCTTCCTTCCTACTGAGATTAAGGTTTCTGTACCTACATAATAATTAAAAATATTTTTTAAATCGCTTCAGAAATGACGGAGTTCCAAGGTTACAAATACACAAACAAAACAAGGAATTGAGCAGTGAACACCTTCTCCTAGTAACTTTCACATTCATCATAAATGTTAGTTGCTTAAGCGGCAACTAGGTACTTTAAGTAAGCAACCCTTAAAAGTTACTGTCGGCTTAAAATAAATCAAGTCCAATATATGCCTTCTAAATCCTCCCTGAATGTGTTGGGTTCTCAAGGATATGAAGTACTAAATCTGGATTTGAAAGGCTTTACGAATAGAGCTCTTTTGGTGTATAAAGTATCACAAAATAGGACCATCGAGTTTGGATCAATTGACACTTCTTCTCAGCACTTGCCAAATGTTTGTCTAGGGCATATTAAAACATATGATATAAAGTCTCTTATGAGCATTCGATGATTGGTAAGTTATTCGTAATGTTTTGTGCAAATACCTGTCTGGCCAAAGACTAATTATATTGATATTTTTGCTACCCCTAAATTACTAATATTCATTCAACGTGTATTTTACTACCTAAAAGTTATCGTAATTTAGCACAAAAAAAGTTTGACACTTATAAAAAGTTTGAATTAAATAATTTTAAAATCTTGGTTGACGAATATTCAGACTGCATCTGATTCATGAACTTTATCCCATTGACATACGATTCATTTTACCTGACATTCAATTACAATGCACTGCATTTGGCTCTTTTTGAATAACTCCAAATGAAGCTATTGAGCTCAAGGGTTTGTTCTCTTCCGAAGTAGCTGCAGACGTCTCGCTCTTTCCCGTAGTTGGGAGAGCGAGACAGGTAGTGCTATTTCAGCCACTGCTGAAGCCAGGGTTGGCCCAATGAGTGATTTTTAATGAACTGCCCGAGGGTGATTACATTTGCGAATAATTTTCAACGCCACTTTGGTGCAAATTTCCTGGATGCTCTATTTGAGTGCCGCTCTAGGATAAAATAAATTTTGTTGGCAACATACCCTAGGCAAGTTTACTTCCGTGGACTTTAAATTTAACGCGTATATTAAAATTTCATCATTGAATTATTTCATATTTCACCAGGGTGAGAGCGTTTATTGAGTAGTATGGGATAGTGGTTAGAATAATAATTGAGATTGTCAATAATCATTGTGAAAATATTTTTATTTTTGTTATATTAATTTTAGACAGTTTTAGATTTGCGCTCATTAAACATGGTAAAAGTACGAGTTGCTGAAACAACCTTTGAACAATCCTTTTGCCATTTTTAAAAACTTTTAAGCTATCAATTTGGTAAACAATACAATTCATCAGTAAAGGCTAAATAGAACCTAAACGAATATGAAAAGAAGTAGCAAAAGAAACTCAATGTAAACGTGTTCAGTGCCATTATAAAAATTAACTATTGAATTAATAGGGTCTTGTGTCAAAGCGTCAGAAAGTAGCCGTCAAACGAAAATCCTCAGGAGAAAATCAAAGGCATAATGAATACAAATTCCGATCGACTTGCGATCGAACTTGTGAGTGGTTTCAGTACCCCAAGCATGAACAACTCTCGAAGTCCAGCACGAACAACTCTCGAAGTCAAGCACGAACAACTCTCATAGTCGAAGACCTGTAATTGTCATGACAGCGGATTGTTTGCTGTCACGAGATAAAATAAGTTTGTTATTATATTAATTTGCTTAAATAATCGATATAAAGATGTTTTTTGACAAAATATCTAGTAGGTAGCTAACAATCTTTTCATATTGAAAATGAAAAATCTTTATTCAATATAGACCAATATTGGCTCTGATGAACGTGTTTTATTTGTTTTCACTATTTACGCAAATTATTGACACTAATTTGTGTGTCAATAATTTGTGTCGTTGTCATGATAACAGCTCTACGATTACGAGAGTTAAGCTCATAGTAGACTTATCAACTATAGATCAACACCGTCTTGCCTTTAGCTAGCTGTCATCGCCTTTCGCGCAGTCTCAACCACGAGGTGAGGCATTTGCGTTACTGTGCGGATAAGACTAGGCGCAGACCATCGATTTTTAGTTGGCCGATAGTTGGGCCCGATTTTATTTGTATGAAGAATCGGCCAAATCGAATCGGCGTACCTAATGTGCGCACTTCCATACAT